GCGAGCTCGTTTAGCGTCGACGATATTGTGATAGCCATGAAATCCAAAACTTCGGCTTCCTCGAACAGCGGAGGGGATTTCTGGCGCGCGGAGATGAGTTCGGCGAGCGCGCAGCAAGGCATGCAACATATGCTCTAACTTGGAAAAAGGTCAAACTGGACGTCTGTCGCAGGAGTTCACATTTGCATGAAAGGATGTGTCGGTCCAATTACGGGATTGTCCGATGGCTCGGCGCCGGCGCCGGCTGCGCGGCCATGCGGCGCGAGGTCGCGAGCGGCAAACAGACGTTTCAATCGGTTTCGGGACACCGTCGGCAAACATTGGAACGCAGCAGACGTTTGAAAAACAAGGCGGGCAGGGCGCAGGACGTAGTCGCGGAAGTAGGTAGGGCATCTGTCTCGAGGGGGCGCGTCGCCCCCGCCGCGGGGGGGGCCCGCGCGCCGAATTCCCCGCGCGCGCCATTGCATTGTTTGCGAGGGGCTCGAGAAATTGATTGATCGGGGAATTGCCCGAGCGGAAGCAGGGGCATAGACAGAATGAGACCACGGAAAACCATGGGCAGTAGCACGTGCAATTTAAACCATAACTGGCACCGCCGGGGCCTCCAGCTTTGTCATCATCGGAAGGCGAAAACTTCTTCAGAACAACATCTCAAGGCGAGGGCAGTGTCGCGCGCTTCGGCTGCACCGAACACTTCGCTCGTGAACAGAAAGCATCGCTGGCAACCGAACGAGGAATACGTGCGCTTCCACTGACTACAGGAAATGGGTCAAGCTCTTCCAGACTGATAAAAGGAAGGTTTAGGGCGGCACCCAGCACGTGGATGGATTCCTTTGAAAATATGAAGAGCGGGCCCCGCCACGGCACATTCGCAGGTGAGATGGCATGGCATGCGTCCAACATTCCTGATAGTATGTACAGTAGAAAATCGTTTGACACCTTTTTGCGGATCATATAAGCAACCAGCTTGCAGATTGCATGTCTGTCCAAGCTTCCAACGGCAGTGGCACTTTGTCGCGGTGCGGGTGCGTCTGGGAAGCCGACAACAGTCATCATCGTATAACCTTTTTCTCTCGCCGACGAACGTCATGAGGAGAAAACAGATGATGTTAAGTAGCGCGGGAAACATTTACGAAATGAGTGATCATAACACTTCGCGTCTCCCTATACGCATCCTTCGCCCCCCCCCTTCTCTCTGTCCGACGCAGAAGAAATCCAAGTTCAAAGCCCACAGAGCATGTAGTTGATTAGCCGTAGCGCCAGGAAGCAATGTTCACAACTTCCACACAAGAAACGCCGCAGCAAAACCAACAGAAAGATTGTTTACGCAACCCATGCAAGAGGAATTCGAGCGTAAGCCACCCACAGAAGGAATTCCATTGCACCGCCCCACAGAAGGATTTTATGTATAATACGCACACTAGAAATCAACATCTAAATCCCCATACCAGGAATCCTATTGTGCAGCGCCACAAAAAGAGATCCCAGTTGTAACCTGCACAACAACAACTTTCCAAATCGCCCAATCAGGAACCTTCTCGTGCAGCCTTACAAAAAGATTTCGTGTGCCATCCACATATCAAGAATCAATATGTACATCGCCCACAGTAGGATGTCCGTTGACAGGGAACCGGAAACAGTTCAGGAGGACACCCACTCCAAAACAACATAGGTTCGTTGGTTGTTTTTTTTTTTTCGCCCCCCCTTTCCACAACAAAACAAGATGATTGGGAACCAAAATAACAGTTGCTCGTTGTTTGTTGCGTTGTGTTCCCCGCCCCCCCCCTCTTAGCATCTTCCAAATGTTGTCGGCTCCCTTTCAGAGAAAGTGCATTGTGGTTGTGGATTACAAATGAGCTGCTTTATGTGATTATACAAGTGGGTAGCATGCGTGGCGGGTGTCCATGTTGATTTCCAGTGCTTGGCTTCAAATAAAATATCGTTGTCTGGATATGCATTCGGATTTCGTTTGTAGTGTATTGCCTTTTTCTTGTGCGCATTATGAATCTCAGATATCAGCCAACGTTGACTCCAAATAGATTGGAGGACAGGAGGAGAACGAGAGGAGGATGGGAGAAGGACGAAAGGACGACTGGAGCAGGACGGGAGGAGCAAAATCAAGCAAACGCAAGCAAGCAAGTGGAAGCAAGCAAGCGCAAGCGAGCAATAACAAGCAAGCATGACCCAGCCATCAAGTGCAAGCAAGCAATGGCAAGCAAGAGCAAGCAAGCGAGAGCAAGCACGTAAGAGCAACCAAGCAAGTGCCCTTGAAAAAAGGGGGTCCACATTGGAAAAAGGGGGTGGGCCATTGGAAATAGGGGGGCGAAAGACCAATTACTTATGATGAGCTAGGACTCCTAGGGGGCAAGCTTATTTGGAGAGCATATCACCCAACGTTGGCTTTAAATAGATAAGAGGACGAGAGGAGGATGGGAGGAGGACGAAACGAGGACGGGAGCAGGGCGGGAGGAGGACAGGAGGAACAAAACCAAGCGAACGCAAGCAAGCAAGCGGAAGCAAGAAAGCGCAAGCGAGCAATAACAAGCACGCAAGAGCCAGCGATCAAGTGCAAGCAAACAAGCGCAAACAAGAGCAAGCAAGCAAAAGCAAGCATAGGACTCGCCATTGGAAACAGCTGACAGGTGCCATTGGAAATATGGAGGGCGCCATTGGAAAAAAGGGTGAAGGGGGGTGTCATTGGAAATAAAGGGGGGGCATTGGAAAAAAGGGGGGGGCTAGAGACCAATTACTTATGATGAGCTAGGACTCCTAGAGGGCAAGCCTATTTGGAGGACATATCAGCCAGCGTTGACTCCAAATAGACAGGAGGACAGGAGGAGGACGAGAGGAGGATGGGAGGAGGACGAAAGAAGGACGGGAACAGGACGGGAGGAGGGCGGGAGGAACAAAAGCAAGCAAGCGCAAGCGATCAATAACACGCAAGCGCGGGCCTGCCATCAAGTGCAAGCAAGCAAGGGCAAGCAAGAGTAAGCAAGCGATAGCAAGCACGCAAGAGCAAGCAAGAACGAGAATGCAAGAGCAAGCAAGGGCAAGCGGTTCATAGGAATACATAGGAATCCATTAGACTCGCCATTGGAAATAGCTGGGGGGGCATTGGAAATAAGGGGGGGGCATTGGCAAAAGGGGGGAGGGGTGTGCCATTGTAATTTTTTGTTGGGGGGGGTATTGGAGAAAAGGGGGAGGGTCCTAAAGATCAATTTCGTATGATGAGCTAGAACTCCTATAGGGCAAGCCTATGTTGAGAACAAACCGTTGTGTGTGAGTTTGAGATATACTTCTTTGTTTGGACAACCTACAAATTGAGCCTTCTTGTGTGGAGTACATATGGAATCCGCTTGAGGGGGCTTACAGTCGGAGCCTTTTCGCGGGGGATGTACATTTTGATTCCGACTATGCGCATCACAAGTAGAACCCTATCGTGCGGATGTACAATGGAATTCCGTGGGCGATGTTCAAATGTGTTTTCTATTGCAAGGCATTCGCAAATCAATGTCAAGTGCGCGGTTACCCGAAACGATTTGCATAGCAATTCGCCACGTAAAACACAGCCAAGCAATAAAGCGGATCAAGCAACAAGAAAAAAGAGAACGTCCTAATACCGAGTCGCCCTTTTCAGGCCTTCCTGGGGGGCCCCTTGGAGCCCTCTTGGGCCCTTGTCGGGAGTCTGCGGAGGCCTGTCGGGGACCTTGGCTGGGGGAGCCTATTCGGGCCTTCCTGGGGGAGGGGGGGCTCTTGGAGTTCTCTTGGGCCGTCTTGGGGTCATCCTGGATCGTTTTAGGGCCAGGGTGGAAGTATAGCGAGCCGTGTTGGAGCCATCTTTGTGGCAACTTGGCCGGTATGGATGCATCTTTGGGGCAATATTAGATACATGTTGGGCCGTGCTTGGCCTATATTAGAGACCCATGAGGCCGTCCTCGGTTGTCGGAAGCCCGAAGTGGCGAGGACGCTAAGATCTTTGGACATCAGAAGAAGAATATGATGGTTGGCTCTTCGGGCCTCTTGGAGGCGTCATGGTTCGTCTTGGGACCGTTCTGAACTCATCTTAGGCCCTCTGGGCCGTCTTGTGGTCATCTGTTGGGCCATCGTGGAGGAATCTTGAGGCTTGGGGGCATAGTCCGCACTTTTTGACATCCTGAGCGGGAACTCTGACGGAGGCTGGTTTTTCCACTTGGCCACGAGGTTGAGTCAAACACCCTTTCGCAAGCAAAGGGGACCCCACGAGGCCAAACCATTCATGTTTCATGTGCTTGTTCAACGGTTTTTGAGTACTCACGCTGTCGTAGCGCGAGGGCCTCCAAGACGACCCGAGGGGCCCCCGAGGTCGCCCCTGGAAGCCCGAAAAGCCATGAGGGCCCCAAGGCGGCCCAAAGGAGCTCCAAGACGGCCCCCCAAAGGGACCACCCGGTAGTGCCTCGAAGTGCTCTTCAAAGCCTTTCCCCTCAAGATGCCTTCGCCCTCCCCCCCCCAAAGACCCCCAACATGACTTCAATATGGCGCCAATGTGCCCCCCGAGGTCACCAGGACGCCCTCAAAAAGTCCCAAGAGGCCCCGAAGAGGCTCCGAAAGAGGCTTTCAAGAGGCCCTTGAAGAGGCATCTCAAGAAACCCTGGAAGGGTAACTATTCAACAGGGCCGTGACCCACAACCCAATCAATGTGGCGGAACGGGCCGAAGGCCGTTGGATCCGCCGCCCGTTGGGGGTCCTCTTGGGGCCCCCTTGGGGCGTCATGGGGGGCCTCTTGGGCCGTCTTGGGTCCATCTTGAGCCGTCTTGCGGCCTTCTTGGACCAATTTGGGTGGCCTCCGGGGACCCTGGTGGGCCGTTTGGCGCTTTCTAGCTGTTGGACACGCCGCGCGGGGTACCTAAGGAGTCATGCGAGCAGCCCCATAAATCCAGCAGTCGGGGCCCCGGGCCCCTTTACAAATGATTGCAATCTGTCATGCAGGATGCGATAGGGGGACCTGAGGGCACTCCACTCAGTGCCTACGGCACGGTGGCGGATTTTTTCTCAGCGACGCATCCGGCATATCCCGACCACTCTTATGGAATGGGCCAGGCGATCGATGACGGCGTGCTGTGTGACTACGACTTGGTTGTGCCAGTGGTGGGTGATGGGGAGTCTACGCTCGCTGCTCTCGCGGGCCTGCTCCTTGCGAAGGTGGGGCATTTCCGGCGCGTCCTTGCGTACTGCAATTCGATAGACGAGGCTCTCCTCTTCAAGCACGAGGTGGCGAAGGTTGGATTGGTTGCGTGGCACATCAACGGCGAGACCCCACGCGCGGAGCGCCAGCGAGTGTTGAAAGCATTCTCGCGCCCCCTTCAGGGCCCTGCCCACGTGCTCGTGACGGTGCAGGTTCTGGGCGAGGGGATCAACATTGGGAGCGCCGACACGTGCTTGTTCGTGCAGCCCCGGCGCAGCTACGTCAGCATTGTGCAGGCCGTGGGCCGAGTCCTTAGACTGCACCCCAGCAAGCCGCTGGCGCACATCATCCTCCCAGCAGTCACGCCTCGCTACAGTGGCCAGGACCAGCCGCTCGGCACCCAGGATGCGCACGGGGAAGCCCATGGCGACCCCGCAGAATTATGGACGGTTTCTCCGAAGGGCTTAGGCGACCCCTCCTCCTCTGCCTCCTCCTCCTCCTCCTCCTCCTCCTCCTCCTCCTCCTCCTCCTCCTCCTCCTCCTCCTCCTCCTCCTCCTCCCCCTCCCCCTCCCCCTCCCCCTCCCTTTTCTCCTCCACCTCCTCCTCCTCCTCCTCGGGTCGCCTACGGCCCCGGGGGAAGCCGTGCACAGAATCAGAGGCCGAGTCGCTCGGCAACCCTCCTTCCGTGGGCACCGCCGTCTCCAAGCCGACTCTTCCTGCCGCCAGCTCTGCTCGCCGCGCCGCGAGCTCCCGGCACTCGGCGCTGTCCAGGGCACCTCTGTTGTCGCCACACTTGGCAGGTGAGAGGCGGCATCGTGCGGAGCCAGGCAGCGTGGAAAAGGCTCGTAACAGTCCGGCACTGCGAGCTGAGGCCACGAGTAATGCGCGGGATTTTTTGGCGTCGAGGTCACAACGCGCAATGTCACAGCAAAAGGCCAGCAGTGAATTGGAACGCTTCGTGGCCAGCCTGGCGTCAGCAGATTGCCGCTTCAGATCAGAGTTGGCGCTCGGGTGTAGCAGTCGCATTTCTTTGTTTGACACCCGAACCTGCAAAGATCATCAGGGCAATGGGGCTCAGGATTTGGAGCATCGCGTACGAAAGTCACTGCAAGCGTTGTCGAGATTGGGCTGCCAGTGGCAGTCCAGATTGCAGCAGTTGGGTGTGTTCCTGGACGCGCACGGCAGGTTGCCGACAAAGGGCAAGGTCGCCGACGAGGAAGAGTTCAGGCTAGCCGCGTGGCTCAACGCGCAGGTCTCACTCTTCAGATCCCAGCGCCTGGCAGAGGACCGCAAGGCAGCCCTGAGGGGCGTCCACACCCTGGTCTGCGAGAAGTTGTCGGGCGAGCGGGAGCGGCAGCGGCAGCGGGACTGGCAGTCCTGGCTGCAGCAGTTGGAGGAGTTCCTGGAAGCGCACGGCAGGTTGCCGACAAGAGGCAAGGTCGCCGACGAGGAAGAGTTCAGGCTAGCCCAGTGGCTCAGCTTGCAAGTCTCACACTTCAGATCCCAGCGCCTGGCAGAGGACCGCGGGGCAGCCCTGAGGGGCGTCCACACCCTGGTCTGCGAGAAGTTGTCGGGCGGGCGGCCGTAAGTAGAAGTCGTCGCGAGCGCGGGGCAGGCCGCGATGACCACGCCCCCCTGGAGGTCCGCGCGCCGGACCTGTGCTGGCGCGGGCGGGCCAGAGACCCGAAGCGGTCCCAGTCTGTGTCCCAGGAAATCGAACGTCGAATCGAAGTATGGATATTGGATCCTCCCTCCCTTGTCCCTCCCTTACTCCCTCGAACCCTTCCTTCATGCCTCCCTCGCCCTCCTCCGTGCCCCCCCTGCTTCCCTCGCCCTCCCACGTCCCTCCTCGATTCCCCTCGCCCTCCTCCATGCCAGCCCTCCTTCTCTCGTCCAGGTTGCACCGCATGGATTGCACCACCTCTATTTCGCTACGTAGAATGTACAACATAATTATGTTGTACGACATACATTGGACAACCTAGATTACACAGCATGGATCGCACCACAAAGTCGCACCACATAGTTTGCCCCACGTAGATTGTATAACATAGAGTTCGCCACATCGATTGCAGAACATCTGTTGCACACCATTGATTGCACAGCCTAGATTACACAACATAGATTGCTCCACAGATGGTGCACAGCATAGACCGCAACAGATCGATATCACCACATTTTGTGCCACATAGAGCGCACCCCATTGATCGCACCACATACATTGCACCACATAGACTGCACGGCATAGGTTGCACCACATAGATTGCACTACATCGATTGCAAAACATAGGCTGCTAGAACACACACTGTGTGGGATCCACGCTAGCTAACGTATACCGCGAAGACGCTGAGATCGGGACCACTCTCGGCTCGGGAGGGGCCTTGACATGCGTGCCGTTCCCCAGATCTGGGCATTAGATCTATTCGTGGCGGGGCCTCGCCGCGGCAACAAATAATATGCCGCTCCTTATTCGGTACTCCTGATGGCAGCACGACGAATGTAATTTGCCAGTCTGGGTCGGTGCGCCCAGGTGTCTCTTACTGAAGGGTGTTTTGCGCCTTCCCCTCCTCCTCCTCCTCCTCCTCCTCCTCCTCCTCCTCCTCCCCCTCCTCCTCATCCTCAGACGCTAACCACGTCCGAATCCCTGAGCGTCCACGACACGCTATCCACTGCCACGGACCCCGGCACGCGTATATATATACACACACACACGACCAGCCGTCTTCCCTGAGAGGGAATTGCAGGTGCATGCCGCAGTCGCGCTTTGGCCCGAGAAGGTTGAGCCAGCGAGCCACCTTTGGATTAGGCAAGTCTCAGGCGGGCCGAGCGTCCGTGTCACGGTGTGCCCAAGTGCATCAGCGGAGCGAGAGAACACATCATCATGTTCATCATCATCACCACCATCGTCACCATCATCAGCAGCATCATCATCACCACCATCATCGTCATCATCATCGTCATCATCATCAGCAGCAGCAACATCAGCATCATTATCAGCATCAGCATCAGCATCATCCGCTTGCACGCGTAGCGTGTCGCCAGGGCCACCGCCGCGTCACGCTAAGCAAATGCGCCTCCCCTACCCTCGTCGGCGCGCCACGAAAATTAGCGGCGAGTTCATTCACACATAGAAGCGACATGTCCGTCGATTTCCTGTAGCACTCCGTCAGAGCAGTCCCACCAAGCGTCCAATTTCCATGATTTCGCCAAAAGCCTACGCTTGCCCAGGCAGCGGCCACGGAATTCGGACGTGCGCCGTCTGCAGCAGCCGATCCTTGGGACGTGCAGCCCGCGGAAGCGAAGGTCAGCAAGCATGCCTTGGCAGCGCCGGTTGCACGAGCGGACGGGCAGCGCGGCCAAGCCTACAGTGGCCGCGTGCAGCGTGACCCCAGGGAACACCGGCAGTGCTACTGCCCGACGCCACGCTTTGCGGCACGCTGCAACGTTGAACAATATGCTCCAGTTGTTCGCAGCCTGATGCCTTCGGAATGGGGCGACGGGGTTGCTGGTTCAAGCGATTCGCTGCTCACCGTGAGGAGGTTGTGACATCCATGATTGCCGTCAGCGCCCGCGCCCTCAAAGTCTGCGCTGCACCTCCCATCTCACCCACCATCCCTGCGTTCTGGTCTGCGGCACTTCGCATATGCACACACGCACACACTCTTGGAGGTCGCGGCCTCGCGCGCAGCGACGAGGCGGAGGAAGTCCCCGAGCGGGCAGAGCGCGCGCGCGCGGCTGGCCCCTTCAGCAGAAGGGCGAGAGCCCCATAGGATCGACCATGCCGTGCTCGTGCCTGGGCACGGGCAGCGGGGGCGCAGGCGGAGAAGCCTGCAAGCGCAACGAGGGTGCGCCAGTGAGGCCGGCGGCCAGGCCGAGGTGGCGGGCAAGGCAGGACAGCGACAGTCAGCAGGACGCCAGGACAGCGACAGGCAGCAGGACGCTCACGGTCGCCACAGGCAGGGTGCCCAGGACAAGGCATGCGACAGAGAGGAGCCGCGGCAGACACGCACACTCACACGCGCACACACACACGCACAAAAACACACACACACGCACACACAAGCACGCTTGCTTACACTTACGCTTACACTAACACTTACACTTGCACTTACACTTGCACTTACACTTACAGACACACACACACACGCACATCACACACACACACACGCACACACACACACGCACACACAAACACGATTACAATCACATTTACACTTACAGTTTCACTTACACTTACACACACGCACACACACGCACACATGCATACACACACACACACACGCTCACACACACACACAGACACACGCACACACGCGCTGGGCGCACGAGCTGGTAGCTTCGAGGGCGCGTGCGCGCGCACGCATAGTGATCTGCCCGCGCGGCAGATCCGTCCACCGCGCCAGCGAAGCACGCTGCGTGCCGACCCTTCGACCACCGAGGGCCGTCACACCCGACACCACGTCACGTCGAGGCTGCCCGCCAGGCCGTCTCATTTTCTCCTCCTCCTCCTCCTCCTCCTGCTCCTCCTTCCCCTCCTCTTCCTCGTGCTCCCCCCCCCCTTCTCCTCCTCCTCCTCCTCCTCCTCCTCCTCCTCATAATCATCATCATCATCATCATCATCATCATCATCATCATCATCATCATCATCATCATCATCATCATCATCATCATCATCATCCTCCCCTCCTCTCCTCGTCCTCCTCATCCTCCTCCTCCTCCTCCTCCTCCTCCTCCTCCTCCTCCTCCTCCTCCTCCTCCTAGGTGGCTTTGGTGCCGTGGCCCCGCCCCCCGTCGTGGGGCTGTCGAGGGCTAGGACTCCTGTTGGGCAGCACTAGGGACTCTCATAAGGCGCCTTCGTGGGCAGCAGTGCTGTTCCTTTCGGCTGTGTGTGGGGGGTCTTCTTGGCAGTCTTGGGGCCCCCGTGGCCCTATGGGAGGTCTCCCGGGGGCCGTCGTGGGGCCGTCCTTGGGGCCGTCTTGGGTCGTCTTGGGGCCGTTTCAGGCCGTCGCGGGTCTTTCCTGATGCTTGTTGAGGCCAGCTTGGGGCTTGCATGGGGCCGTCGGCCGTCCTGGATTGTTTAGGGACCCCCTTGGGTCGGTAGGCCCTCATGGATGTTCGAAGACCGCGCGTGGGCCGATCTTGTACCGAATAGCACGGACATCGAAAAACATGGAACAACAGGATAATCAATGCTGTTGGCATTCCGGGGGCATCCTGGAGAGCGTCTTCGGGGTGACCTGACGAATTCATCCTCTTTATCTCCCGCACCTCCTCCTCGTCTTCCTTCTCCTCCTCTTTCTTCTCCTTCTCCTCCTCCTCCTCCTCCTCCTCCTCCTCCTCCTCCTCCTCATTCTCATCCTCTTCATCCTCCTCCTCTTTCTCCTCATCCTCCTCGTCCTCATCCTCCTCGTCCTCCTCCTCCTCCTCCTCCTCCTCCGCCCCATCCTCTTCTACCACACATACTTCTGCTCGTCATCCTCGTCATCCTGCTTGTCCGCCTCATCGTCCCCGTCTTTCTCGTCCTCCTCCTCCTCCTGCCCCTCCCCCTTCCTCCTCCTCTCCTCCTCCTCCTCCTCCTCCTCCTCTTCCTCCTCCTCCTCCTCCTCCTCCTCCTCCTCTTCCTCCTCCTATGTCTGTAACGCGCTTCGCAGCAGCAGTTCGCCAGCGTCGAGCCGACGGCAGGGACAGAAGGGATGGCGCCCTGGGCAGGTGCTGCTCGCGTGCGCCTTCTGTGCATCGCCAGGACTGGCGGCCTGCATTGAATGGGGCTCGGGGGGGATGGATCTGCAGATGTTTACGTGAGGATCGAGGCGGACGAAAGGGGGTTCGAGGTTCTGGGACTTCGATCGTCTTCGTTGATTCTCTGCGGCTTTCCAGCTTCGGGGTCCTTCCAGCAGCTGCGTATCGCCGAGAGCATTTGAGGGGTGCCTGGTCGTCCCGCAGGCCGATGGGGATTCGAGTTCAGACCCGAAAGGTCCACTTCGGTCCGATCGATTCGATATCGATTCCGGCCAGCCCGACGCGGTTCGGTCCAAATTTTCCGACGATTCGATGCGGCTTGATGCTCGCATGGCGGCGTTGTGTTCCCTGTCGCGGCCGATCCGATTACATTCCGGCTCTGTGCCAATGCGGCCCGTGTTGATGCACGTTCCGATCCGATATCCCGATTCGATATTGTTTGGTATTGGATGTTTATTGGCGAGGATTTGACTCCACCCATGGGGTGGGAGGTGCTCCTAGTGGGCCCTCGACGCGCAGTAATTGCGCATTGGCTAAAGCTAAAAGCGCATGCGCGAGAAGGCTGGCCACGGTCGCTGCGGGCAGGGGTGAGCGGGCGCAGTTGAAGCAGGGGCGGCGATGCAGCGAATCTGCGTGTTGTTGATGGCCCTTGCGCGGGAGCTCTGGCACTTGACGTCGCTCGACTGTGGAGGTCCGATCTCCGTTGTCTATGATGTTGAGGCGCCTTGCATAGCCAGCCAGGCATCCAGAGCAATTGTTTGAAAGTGCATCATGTCGATTCGAGCTGCACAAACTGTTCATTTCTATTTCTTCGAAAGTTCTTTGATTTTTGGGAGGCCAAGATCCTTTCATTTCTAAGTGTTCTGTCCTGGGCCTCTTCCTGGCCGCCAGGGGGACAGGAACAAGTAGAAACGAGCACAGTTAGAAATGAGCACGATTAGACATGAACGACGTGTAGTCATGAGTGTGGCAAAGGTTGTGGCACGCGACACATTGCTGGAGGATAGCACACACGGCACGTGCATAG